TTACATATATCTGCCAGAATTTTTTAAATTAGAGGTTTTACCTCTCAATAATTAGATTAAATGCCAATTGATCGGATTCTCTAGACAATTTATATACTCTCGAAAATAAAATCTTGTTGGAATCACTTGGGGATTTAAATTAATGCTATTACCAATGATCATATCATTTTACTATATTTGTAGATAATAAAAAAATATTTTTTACTTTTAATAATGTATTATTACAAAATCTCATGTTATATATTTTATTACTAGAATTCTTAATGTACATCAATTAAAATGTTAATATGTAATATCTACAACAACAAATGAAGTTTATTTTAAATATTAAAAGAAATATACCTACTGTGAATGTGTAGTTTAAAATATATATTTTCGTTACGACTAAAATACATTGCGGTGAAAAAGTCATAATTTTTTTTCTTTATATTTGGTAAGATATATTTTTATTGCAGCAAAAAAACACGTGTATGATAAAATACATTTGATCATATGATGAGATATATTTTTATAAAATTTTGTATTTAATTAATTTTTTTTACGACATATATGTATATTTATATTAAGGTCAATAATTATCATTTAAGGTTTCTTTTTTTTTTTAAATTTTAATTACAACTTCATTTTAAATGAAATTTAGATGAAAATTGTCGTTTAATATTTGGTAAAGTAAGTTGCTTTTAGTGAGCCTGAGGTATGTAAATCAATTCCATATTTCATCTTTAATCAGTTCTATTAATGTTATGTGATTAATCGTATTTGATTATGTATCTAGTAATTATAGATCTTCATCAACTCCATGTTATCCAATCAATAAATACACGTACATTAACATTAATTACTCTAAATTTTGATGTATAAATTGGTTAGAAAAATTAGATAAGTAATTTTCAGACACATAATTCCAATCGACATTGTTAATAATCTACACGACGACACTCTCTTAAATTTCATTTAGTCATAAAATAGAAATAGACGAAAAATATTGGTCACATCTTCAATTTTATTGCGGCATAAAACACTCACCTCCATCCACTTTGCTTCAAGCAAAATTGGCGGATAACTTATAGTTGAGAAGAAGATAAGATTAGGAAAAAAGAGAATTGAAAAAAAAGAATGAGAAATAAAATAGTTGGAGGAAAGCCCGATCTACGACGACAAGCATTCTCTTACACCGACGCGCATTCCACTTGATTTCCCACATCGTGAATCAGAGGCTGGAGCTCCAGATAATGGTCGCGAGAGTCAGCTAAAGCAGCCTATAAGTACACATGATGGCGTAGAAAGGAGTAAAGAATCATCGGGGTGCAAAGGATAAAAGAAAACCTACAGTCGATCCACATGACGATAAGATTTATTATTAAATTCTATTCAAAGTTCTTTATAGTCTATCAGACATGTCATTTCAAATTAGCCACACCTATGATAAAATTTCGTTCCCCGACAATCCCCTCGTGAAACTATGGGGAACGTCTGGAGGAAAAATTTTTTTTTTTTGGAAATTTTTCCACTCTACTTCAAGCGTACTTGAAATATTTTTTACTTGCGAAAACTGGCGATATATTGGCGAAAAACTGTAAGACGTAAAAATGTGCATAACTTCTGTGTTAATGATGCTATGGGGTTCATCGAGGACTCATTTGAAAGATCTCGACGAAAGGGAAAAAGTGGATATGGTTAAAATCATAATGGGAGCATAATTCATGCAAAAATTTCCGCAAGTTCCCGTTTTACCCCATTTTAGGAGTGAAATAATTAATTTTTTATATGTTTGACCTGATTCCGCATTTCTACGCATCAAGACGAAGAGAATGAGCCCTCGATCATCAAAATCGGACAACTTTGATTTTTCGACCCGAAAAAATGGCAAGTGGTACCCCTTTCCATTTTTTTTGGCCAAAAAATAAAAGTTCTCCGATTTTCGAGTTCGACCACTCATTCTCTTCCTCTTGATGCGTAGAAATGCGGAATCGGGGCACCGCTCGAAAAAATTCACTTTAACACCCTCAAAATGGGGTAAAAGTGGATACACATGAAAAACCATCATCCCCTTGACTTTAAACCCTTATAACTCATGAACGGACAGTCCAATGATTGATTTCAAGGACGTTTTAGAAACCTAAAAATCTAAGCTAAACATACATATTCATGAATAGTGTTTGAAAAATTTATTTCACCCTTAAAATCGCAAAAATATAAAAAAAAATCACATTTTTTGGGGAAGTTGCCAACTATTTTGGCGATTTTAAGGGTGAAATACATTTTTTAAACAGTTTTTATGGATACCTATCTTTAGCTAAGATTCTGAAGTTTCCAAATCTATCCTTATAATCATTATTAGATGACTAATGTAAGAGTTATGACGGTCCAAAGTCAAAGAGAAGACGATTTGTTACCCTTACATCAACTTTGGACCTCTATAACTCTCATACAAATCATCTAATAATGATTATAAGGATAGATTTGGAAACTTCAGAATCTTAGCTAAAGATAGGTATCCATGAAAATTGTTTAAAAATTTATTTCACTCTCAAAATCGCCAAAATAGTTGGCAACTTCCCCAAAAAATGTGATTTTTTTTTATATTTTTGCGATTTTAAGGGTGAAAGAAATTTTTTTAAACACTATTCATGAATATGTATGTTTAGCTTAGATTTTTAGGTTTCTAAAACGTCCCTAAAAATCGATATTGGACTGTCCGTTCATGAGTTATAAGGGTTTAAAGTCAAGGGGATGATGGTTTTTCATGTGTATCCACTTTTACCCCATTTTGAGGGTGTTAAAGTGAATTTTTTCGAGCGGTGCCCCGATTCCGCATTTCTACGCATCAAGAGGAAGAGAATGAGTGGTCGAACTCGAAAATCGGAGAACTTTTATTTTTTGGCCAAAAAAAATGGAAAGGGGTACCACTTGCCATTTTTTCGGGTCGAAAAATCAAAGTTGTCCGATTTTGATGATCGAGGGACTCATTCTCTTCGTCTTGATGCGTAGAAATGCGGAATCAGGTCAAACATATAAAAAATTAATTATTTCACCCCTAAAATGGGGTAAAACGGGAACTTGCGGAAATTTTTGCATGAATTATGCTCTTAATATGATTTTAACCATATCCACTTTTTCCCTTTCGTCGAGATCTTTCAAATGAGTCCTCGATGAACCCCATAGCATCATTAACACAGAAGTTATGCACATTTTTACGTCTTACAGTTTTTCGCCAATATATCGCCAATTTTCGCAAGTAAAAAATATTTAAAATACATTTGAAGTAGAGTGGAAAAATTTCCAAAAAAAAATTTTTTCCTCCAAACGTTTCCTATAGTCCAATAATATCTATTTATAGATAAATCAGTTATCCAGACATTAATTAGAATTAATTAATCAAAAAGGAATGATTCATTTTATCAGTAGAGAATAATTCTTAATGAGTATCACAAACCAGTAGAAACGAGAGATAGACTTGTTGAAAATGTGTAATAAAGGTAAACGATTTAACTAACATGAACTAATTGTAAATACATTCACTGTCATTAAGTACATTTATATATGTATATAAATCGAAAGCAAACTAGACCACAAATCAATTTAATTACGATTGAAAACTATCTTAATTAATTAATAGATAATAAAGCATGTCTGTGTTCTCAACATATTGGAGAGGATTGACGTTATTTTATATGAAAAATCTTAAATCTTGAATAGTAGACAATGGAAAATCATTCATCTACTAATACTGTGATTAATTATAAAATATTCTAATCATCAACAAATCCTTTTTCACCTCTTATTACTGCATACGTTTTTTCGTTGATGTGATTTAAAAAGTTTGATTTTATTTTTGAAAATCAACCAATGCATGTCCAGTCACGATTTCTTTTAAAAATAATTCCTCATCTTTATTTAATTCTGGAAAGAATATCTAATCAGAATAAATTAAATTAACGCTAAATAAGTGATATGGTCGAATGTAAAACCTAATTGTTATATACCAAAACGAAAGTCACTCGACAAATAGCAAAAATGAATAGAGAAATTCGTGTGAATTGAGTGCTCAACTAGCATATCCTGCCGTCGATTTTCATCAAATGAGAGATAGACGGATGTGGCTGGGGGATAGGGACAAGCCTCGACGTCGACGTTGTGATCTATGACGGTTGATAATGAAAGCTGCACCAGCGGCGCTTTGCCACGTTGTCTGAATGATACGGCTAAACTACAGCTTACTATCTTTGTCCACATGTAAACTATAGTTTCCGCAGTGATTGTTGTCATACGTTGTACACAACGATAGAATTTGGCGGGATAAAGCTAGAGGGAGAGGGAGAGAGAGGGTTGAAATTATCTTCGCAATGGAGATGCGAGCGATGGGATCTAGTTGATAAGCACCCGTGACTGTCGTTCATTTTCGCGGATAGGCGACAACTAACGCTTGTCGGTTCAGATAGCATGCATTTTACAAACTATATTGCTACTGACAACCAAATGTGAATGCCCATTAAATTTAGAAATATATTTTTTTATTTGACATCTTGCATTAACTCACTTTGCTACTGACGATGCAAATTTACATCAATTTGATAAAATTTTATCATTATAGTTATAAGTTTGATAATTAATTTGTTGAGGAATTATTTCATAAAATAAATAAAGCTTGAAAATTTAATTTTCAAATAATTAAATGTAATTAGAAGGTAATTATTACTTTTTTTTAATCATAAATTACTTCAAGTTCTTTGAAAACGTACAGAGCTTCAAGAAATTACTTTCTTGGAAAATTACTCTTTGTAGTAATGAATTACACAGAAATGATTGATAATTTTGTGGGAATTTACATAAAAGTTAATGTCATAAAAGTAATAATAATTAACAGTAAAGTGAATAAACAAATCAGACGTGTTTAGATGGTTTTATATTTTCACTAATACCAAAGTTTTTCTTTAGTGAACTATATACATAAAGTTACTTCTTTATTATTCCTTATACTTTTTACTAGACTGAACTCAAGCTCTTGCGTTAACCCCAAGAAAACTTTATACAAGCTTTTTATAACTCGATTACTACTAAAGGACTGATCCTTAAAACTCATCGAAAACTTGGATTAGAAAGAAAGAATAAGGAGGCAGTAAGAAAAATCTTGGCATTTTCAAGGCATCGAGAGCTTTTAGTTTGACATAATCGTCATCATAAAAGTTTTGTAATCTGTGTAACAATAAAAAAAAAACGAAACTTAGAAAAATATATATATATTTCAATCTTTACGAGACATTTTATTGAAAGATTAACGTACTTAGCGTATTTTTCGGATTTTATAGTAAGTCCGATAAAAATTTTATTTGATGAAAGTCCAATAGTCTTCACAAGATCGTTTATTTTTTGTGATCAGTAGTAAAACTGACGAATAGTCGGGCAATAATGTGAAATAGAATATAATCTTTAATTTTACACTTCTTGAAACGTGCTAATAGTTGGTTTTGTTTTCAATTAAATATTTTAAATATTATAAATAAACCTGTAAATGAAAAAAAAAATAAATAAATAAATAAATAATCAAAAAAAAATAAATATTTAGTTGAATTTACCTTAATATTGTCATCTAAAAAATCCAGAACTCACAGTCAAATGAATTAACCAAAAATTAAGTACAGCTCTGGAAACACCATTCCCATGATGCACAGCAGCTGGAAGTTCCCCTGGAAAAGACATTAAACAAATAAAAGTCAATTATTATTATGGAAATAGTACAATTTATAGAGCTCAGATTAAAATGAATGATTAATTAAAATTTTAAATTAAATGTAAATATATACTGATTCTATTTACTGATCCACCAATAAAGATGCCATCACGGATATCCTAAAGTCATATCTCGACACACGGTCAATTTGGTAAATTGTGCGCGACGAGGAAAATATCCGGACTCTACAATATCAGGGAATTTTCATCCGTTTTCTGTTGAAAAGTTCTACCTCACGTGACTCATTGTTCTATTTGCTAAAGTCATGAAATGTAGATTGCATTTGATTCAACGCCCAAATGTTAAAATACGAAAAAATGGAAAAAATGTATATTTTTATCTGACAGAGTAACATTTGCTTCAAGCAAATTGAATATCCAAATTATATATTGGATCTTCATTTTCTATGTTTGTGTATATATATATAGATTATTTAATAAGTATAACATATACAATAATATACGATTGCAAACGAACAAACTGTTAAATAATACATAATATTTGAAAATTGAAACGATAAAAGTTCCTTTTTTAATCAAACTTAATGCGAATACATTCAATATCAAATTCGAATTTTCTTCTATTCTCTAAATAAAGTATATTGCTATTTGAAAATGGAGGAAAAAATAACTCGTAATGGAAAAATAAAAAAAAATTTACAGAGTTTAAAAATAAATAATCGATTTAAGCTATCTTAGAAAATTGTTTAAATTAATTTCTCTCAAGTTCATTTAAGTATTGAATAATTATAAAATAAAAGTTTTATAAAATCTGAATATTTTCCTGCTAAACTCTTCAAATCTCATTACACAAAAGGAGAATGCCAATAACAAACTTTTGATTTTATTTTCTCATTTTAATTATTTTCCCTAATTTGTAGAAAATCGTCAATTAAAAATTATAATCAATTTAATTACAACAAAAAAAAATATTGTGATAATTTATTTATTTTTAATTTATTTATTTACTTTAATAGTACTGATTAAATGTTGATAATAAACATTCAAGAATATTTAAAGTAAGGAATAATTTCTGAATGATTTAAAAAAAATATAACTTTTAATAATACAAGAGTAAAATAACTTGTTTTACAAGTAACGGCAGCTTTAGAGCATTCTACGTGGTTTAAATGCAATCAATATCCCCTATGTGAGATCGAACGGAATTCGTCAATCTACCGGCTCATCTCATTCTTCTTCTTTACCTCAACACCAAAAAATCTCGGAATTTCACAATCCTTCTACCGTTCCCATCGTTACTTCTTCTAATCCAGACATTCGTTCCACGTTCCCGTCGGCTTTCCGCGCTCACATTTCAGACGTACCGTGAGAAAAGCATTTTTCAATGAAATACCACCTAGTCTCGTTTCCTATACTCGACGATTTCTTTCATCTTCTTTTATTTTTTTATTTTTTTTTCGTTTTCTGCCTAGTGGAAGCCGATCTTTGAAAAACGTGCCAGTTGAAAATCGCACGATCTTCGCACTTCATCGGCTTGATTTATATCGACCACGCTACGAATAGAATTTCCACATATGCACTTTACTGTTGGATATATTGGTTTCCACGAACTCAAACGATATTTTGTAACTCACTTCCCATGTTGAACTTTGATATCTCAATTAAATGAATAGTGGTTTGTGAAAGGCACGTTTCCAATCGGCTGAAAAATGTATATACCTCGACAATTATTTTTTGATTACTCATAAGCTCACTCAAAAATGAATTTTTCAGCTACATTGAATATCAATCAAGCATGCAAAGCTTGGCCATCATTACATTAGTTATTAACAATCCAATAAAACCATTGAAAAAAATAAACATCACATGAAATATTAATTAAAGTTGAAACAGTGTTAACGATCAGTCGAGAGTATTCATAAACATAACAAGAAGCTTGTTGATGACTTTTCAGATAATATTCTTCACTTTTATGATCAAACTTTACTATATAATCATTATAATTTTGATATTAAATAATTATTGATGAATAACATCAAAGTATAATTTCCATAAAATAAGAAAATAACTTAAAAAAAAAAAGATAATGATAGAAGATCGATTTTTTTTATTATCTCTAGTGTTTTTAAAATTATTTAATTAAGTTTATATTTAATTAAAGAAAGGAGGAAATTCTTAAGTAAAGGATTCAGTACATTAAAAATTTTTAATTAAACGTATTTTTACTAGAAAAAATTCTCGTTGATACTGGAAACACTAAGGACTAAGAATGAGGGTTCAGATGGAACTTAATTACTAGCAAAATAAATTTGTACTCAACAGTTGTCTTATTGAATTCGATATTACAGATATTTCTCTTCAATTAATTGACTAATAAAACCGAAATAAAATATTCTAACAATCAAAAATAAACGAGTAAGATAAAAAATATATCAAAATGAAAATAAATAACGAAGATTAAATTGATAAAATAATGACTGGAAATAGAATCTGATGATTAATAGATCAAACTGAATTGAACTAAATATTTGTACTGTATTGTGAGAATATTTCGTAATTAATAAAAAAACATGGCATGATTTTTTCTTAAAGGTGCACTGGTGATGTCTTTTTTACGTTGTCCAAGATATAGCCTGTACGTCGGTAGCTCTGGAGAATAATTAACTTGGATCAGGACACAAGTGTTGGAGCAGTTGCCTCAGTAGTACAAGACGTGATCCCGTAATTTCTCATTCTGGCTACCCAGAAGGATCCACCCTTCATGAGTAGCCAGGTATGTAGTTGTAAGAGGAAAAGAGCAAGAATTACTGATGGGAGGATGGACCAATTAGAATAGCGTGTCGCTCAGTGGCTATGCCATCCTAATACAGGACCTAATCAAGTCTAGTCACGCAGTGTTTCGTCCGTTAAGGTGCCTGCTCGAAATTCTCAATTGAACCTTAGTTCTTCTTTTATTACAGTATTCAACCAATTAAAGAAAAAGTTTTCCATTTTCTCTCATCTCGCACTCATCGCTTTTTTTTTGTCACTATTTGTTTTTTTTTATCTCCCCCTGAAAAATATCCTTTTTTTTCTATCTTGGTTTTATCTTTTATCTCTTTTACAGACCTTACAATACGTACAAAGCAGATTAAATTACGTTCCAGTCTTTTCAAAATTGGAGACTTAGAGAAGATCAAGTTCGATAAATATAAAGGAAGAATTCTATATGAGTATGTTCTAAAAGATTAAATATCCTTTTTATATTTAATGTGATAGGATTCTAATTAAAATTTCATTGGCACTTGGAATAATATTATGTGAAAGTAGAATAAATAATAGATCCTGATAACAACTAACGAATCTTTAAGAAACACAATCTTCTTCATTTATCGAAATGGTAAATCTAAGAGATTTAAATCAGTTGTTAGAATAAAATCAATCGCTTTAAATATTTTATCATTGGAAAAGGCATCTGGAAAGAACTTTGATCATTTCAAGGCAGTCAAAGAAGTCGGGAAATAATCTTGTTTGATACAATACTACATATTGTACATAAAGTAAGTAAATTCTTTGATGTTTCTGGTAATATTGTTAGCTTAGTAGTAACATAATATGACTTTTTGTAGATGCAAACTTCTAGATCTCTTGTCACTAACAACTCGGAAGAAAAGAGCTATGTCAAAAGCAAGGATGTAGATAGAGATAGTCTGAAGCTCTACGATTACATATTCCTGATACACTTCACAGCTTTTCAGTTCTATCTAGCCCAAAACTAGTGTCGGCGGTTGCTCCAGCGAGCAACGATACCACCGGAAGCGAATCCTGTCGGCCTGACATGTCGAGTTGCTCGTTTAGACATCCGCTTCAACATCGTGTTTCATGTCAACATACACATCATGTCATACAACACATTCATTCGAGATCTACTAGACTTGGTTGTTTGTACAAGAGGATATGTTGCTCGCTTGTTACCTTACCATTCAGAACATGAACAGCTATGGTGGTCTTGGCTCTTTCCGGCACGGTGCAACTGTAGTTTCCGGCGTGCCGTGGTGTAGCTCTTTCCACTATCAGTGTACTGACAATCACTGGAATCTCTTTATCAGCTACTATTTTAGTCGTTCTGTTTTCACTGAAATCAATACACATTGAAATTGCTGAAGCAAAGTTATGTATTACACATTTGAATTGCTAATTCTAAATCTAGACTCTATGCCAAAGAAATATATGTTACATTTGCAAATACATTACAACTAGATTTTAATTAGTGTAATATAACATTACTGAATAATGGAAAATTGATCTTGATCAGATTTGATAGAAATAAAATTAATGTTAAATAAAATTAAAATTGAAATTGGGTGATGTTACAGGAAGTTATTTTGAAAGTTTTCGTTAAAAAAAAAATATTGAAAGAAGAAGCTTTGTTCACGAAAGCCGTTTGAAGTGAGGAAAGGGAATAGTAAAGCTTTCAGACGCACTAACCTGACATTAGATGTGAGGGTTTCGTCTCCTTTAGTCCAGAGCAAAGACTCATTCAGGCTTTCGAGTATATCCCTACCCTCGCACCTTAGTTTTAGAGCACTTCCGGCTTTGAGGTGCCTTTCACCGGATATTACTCGACCAGAGTCATCTGTGATATTCAATATTGGAGCTGCAATCATTTCAAGTAATTTCTCTTTAGTGTAATATATATATATATATTTTTTTAATCATCTCGTAATGGATTTATTAATTTTTTTAACTTTTAAAATTGATAAATTATAAATAATTGCTATGATAATATGACTGTTGACATTTTATAAATATTGAATTTCTTTCATGTCTTGTAATCCCCTTTACTTCTTATTACGACTTAATAAGTATTTATTTCAAACATTTTCTGTGGCTTTTTGTTTCTATGATAAATTCAGTACCTTTCTTGTGCATGTGAATAAGTAATTAAGTAAGGTTTTTCCCCTACTCTATCACGATTCCTCTAACGTGGTAGAGATGATTCTTTCCATCGAAAAAACACCATTAGGATTCTGCTCAACTTTGCAGTTCTACTATTCTCCAACCCACTGCTATGTAAATTTCATGGTACTTCTTCTTATACTTCTCCTTCCTTTTGCAATCGCGTTGCTTTCTCTCGTCCATTTCCCTGACTTCGTTGTCTGATGCAGACCGAGGAGATGATGTCACAGTGTCTGAACCAGTACGACTGTTTTTACTTTACTACAGACAATTTTGCGAATGTCATGAACGAGAAAAAATATACATTTTTTTTCTTATTTTCTATTTTTGCATATTCTGATTTTTTTTCGTTTTGGTTAAACATTTTTGTTCTACATCTTTTTAATATTTATATTTTATTGGATTATTTTTTTATTGCATTTCTCGTAACAGTAATATGTTATTTATGTTTTTATCTTTACTATGAAAAATTTCATGTCTGTTCACGTTAACTTCGACTTTATAGCATTTACAACTTTTTCCTTTAACTTGTAATTTACCTTACTGTTTTTACTAACGAAAAGTAATATTCAATGTAAAAAAGTTGCCATTAACTTTGATGATGTTGATGAAATATTGATGTGAAATTTAATTTAATTAAAAGAAAAAAAATTTAGTTTAAATAAAACTAGATTTTTTTTTCAGAGTAAAAATTGAAAGATTTGTTGTTTCTTGTTTTGCTCTGATCGTTGTATCAAAAGCTCCAATGATGAATAGCTCGAAATGGACGGGCTCTTGTCGATCTGTCACAAGCCTTGTAATTGCCAACGCATATTCAATGCATCACTCCAGTTCAGATTATCGATCAAGAACTTTTCATTTTCTAATCACCGAGAATTATTACTACGAGAAATAGTCCAATCTTCTAAATTACTCTAAAATTACTCAACTCTTTTATTCTTGAAAAATTTACGGTCTAACTTTTTAACATTTCATGTCAAAATGAAGATAAATCATGTCTTTAATTTAATCTAATAATTATTTTTATTCCTGAAAAATGGTTAAATATTGTTAAAAAGTAACGCATGGATCAATAACTCTATTCTTTCTATAATTATTTTTATATAAAATATATTAAACGATATTGATGTACTATTTTTGACTAGTGGAAAAATCTTTTATGTCATGAAACTTGTAAATTAATTTCCATCGATTTAACCTGTATTGGTTATAAAATAAATTCAGTAGTAAGTAAAATCGATAGAGGTTTCCAAAAACAGTTTCGATAATTCAATTATTAATGTTTCATTACATCAACAATTAATTTAAGGGAAACATTTACTGATTTAAAAGCTTGAGCCTTAGAATAATAGTAATAATTAAATTTCTCAATTTATTTTACTATAAAAAATTTGTTATATTAAAAATGATGAAAAAATGTGTTGCTTAAACTCAGTAATTATTTTAATAATTAAAAAAATATAGTAGTTTTAAAATTAAATAACGTAACAATTCTAATTGTCGAATATTTTAATAGTTGATTAAACAATTTTTAATAATGCAATACAGCATTGTCGAATGATTTTAATTTAAATTGTCGACTATAAAATAGCCTTTGTTAAAATGAAAATTTCAATTTCATGTTTTAATTTCAATTGAAAAAAAAAATTCTTTTGAATTCACCATATCTTGTGCACGACTGTGTATATATATAGAAGCTTTTCATCTTCACTCACTCGATTAATTTTCCAGAGCGATGCGAATTGTATGATTAAGTGGTGCGTTGATTCATCTAAAGTTTTCCTCTTCTGAAGAGAGGGCTCATAGGAATTCTTTATTCTCCTATTTTTTCTTCCTTATTTCTTATTGTATTCTCTTAAATTCTACTTTGTGTTCCGAATCCCTGAAGTCGTGACTAACGCAGTTCAAACTTGATTTTCCAAACTTTTTATTTAAGAAAAAGATCTTGGCGGTGGTGATGGTGGTACTGCTGCAGATGATAATGTTCTTTGATTACGCGCATATTTCCCGAAGGCTTTACCTCCTCATTCTACTATCACCATTCTTCCTGCTATTCTTTTTTTTTACTTTTAGATTCGTCTGATTTTCCTTACTGCATTTCCTGAAGGCGAATCCACTCACTCTCAGCTGCAGACTTTGGTGATCCTCTTTTCTTAGTCGAAATGCTTTCGTACTTTCAATCTTTTCCTTCTCTTCTCTCCTTAAATCTTTTTTCCTCAATCCTGCTATCGAAACTCTTGAGTCTCAAGTCTAGACTAGAGTTCGTGAAGCCTGAGGAAAACTAAAATTAAACCGAGAGAATGATGCAAAACTTTGAAGATCAAGTTTTAGTTTAATGTTGACTGGACATCACATACCACCAAACTACCGGTCGACATTCACTCGACGTACTTGTGATTAATTAATTTACTCAGTGGTGTCACTTGAAACTCCTGAGACACTTTTAGTACTTACTGGGAACAAACGGAAGTGAGTTGAAGTCAGTTTAGTACTTCAAGCCTTCAGGCATCATAACATTAAACCGACTGTCAACACCCTTTTACATTATCTTTTTTCTGAAATAAAAATAATTAAATATTCCCTTAATTATTTATTTATTAAAACATTTCATAGTTAGAAATAATATTTTTTTCATAAATTTCTTGTTAAAAAGTGAGTTGAACTTTTATTTGAACAGCTAACGAAATCGTTGGAAAATTTTTCAATTTATTTCTATTTACTTAACATTTACGTATGTGTTATTTGTACTTGGTAAAGTAACGTTGGCAAACTTTATTATAAACCAACATACACTGATAGCTCAGTCTTTACCGTAAATTATAAACAAACTTATAAGATTTTGTTCATAACGAAGCGTGTATTTAGTAAAACCCCAATTCCCATACTCTTCATCCATCTTCCCTCAGTTTCCAATGTAAAATCCTTCGACTCAATCCTTTCGAATATTCCCTACTATCTTCTGTGATGCACGAACAGTTTCAACCTTCTCGTTCCTTATCCTCCACTACATACTACTCGTATCAAGCCTCGAGCACTCGGTTCTGATCACGTTCATACGCGGTTATACTTTGAACTCAAGTACAATTTGCTTCTTGATATATGAGACCACACTGTCAAACTTTTAATGATACTCGATCTGTATTAACATATTTCTGGATATATAAAATCTTTCTATTTTTACTTTCTTCCAAAAGGATTATCATTTTGTGTTCAATCACATTTGAATAAAAATATTTACTTTGATTTCCTTCTTCATATTTTTTTCTTTTTAATAAATATCATTGTCAAAAGTTATCCAAAATATCATTTTCAAGAAATATTTTTCTCGTATTTTCAGAAAGTTGATTATTTCTTTATAAGATTTTCTTTCAAGACTTTTCTTAAAATTGATGTAATATTATTGAATTACCTCACAATATTCTTTTTCTGTAACATCTTTTTATTTTTTTAAATTTTTAATATTCCTGAATGAAAACTAGAACAAAAATAATAGATATTTGGGTTACTTAAAATATCAGTACCTGTGATAACGACATTGTATTTTTTGACGAGAGAATGTGTCGGATCAATTTCAACTTGGCACTTGTATAATCCACTATCCCGAAGAGTAGCATATGCAATTTGCAATCTCCAATTATCAGGATATCTAAATTACAAATAGAATTTTTTTTAGTAATAAATTTAAACTATTTTCATTAAAATTAATGATTATTTAATAATAATAATAATGATAAAGGTTATTCATTGATATATACATGAATAATGTAAAGAAGTGAAGATAAATAAATAAAAAAATCGCAACTTTTGCTTTCCTTTTATTATTCATCGATAATTTTTTATCACTAGTCCGGACTTAACTTATAAAGCATCAAAAGTCCTTTATATTCACCCTGAAGCGATCAATATCATCAATTTTAATAATTTAGCAATTCACAATTTTTCTTTATTGTCTGAAAAAAAAACTCACTGGAATTTTAAACTGATCCTTTCATCTGCACTGTATTGCACGTTGCCTACGGTCAGAAGCCGAATAGAATCCTTAACGTGCTGCAACCAGGTCACCTAGAACAAATTACGAAAGCAAAAACTTATTACTTATTAGAAAATGAATAAATAAAGTCTTCTCAATAAAATTTTACCGAAATAATTTACTTATTTTTGCTATAAGATAGAGTATAATGAAATTGGGTAATACATTGAAAATGAAAAAATAATAGAATTTAGGTGTAGATGAATAGGTAGGTACATACACAGTGTGAAAATCGCATCGTTGGCAATTCGTACGGTCGTTTGTCGAGCAAAATTTATAGTTCTTGTGCACGTGCCAATAAAAAACAAACCGAGTAAAAATTTCTCCGCATGCGAGATGATCCGAGTGAGAAGTACGCAAGATCTCATAAACTCTTGTACTATACAGAATTTATGGTTATGAAAAGTCATGGAGTAAGTTCATGGTGATACAAATATGAATACATGTATGTGTGTTTACTTTAATGTTTGTTAATAATGGATTACAGTTGAAAAATAGTTAAAAGTTTTTTTTTTTTGTTTTTGTACTCACGTAAATTGAAACTAAAAAGCCAATCACGAGTTTTGTTGTGTTACTGAATTTATTGTTTCATGTTTCACAAACATTTATCAAAAATAACGAATAAAATAAATAAGCTCAGTTATCGACAGGAAATATTTATTGTAACTTATTCCAAAGTTTATTCAAAGCTACTCTATATCAATTCATTTTGTTGTTCACCAATAATAATAACATAATATCAACAATAACTATTGTAAGTAATATTGAATAATTATTAGCTATGTTTCATAATATTGATTAAATAAAATATAATAATTATATATACTTTAAATTGTTGGAATATTTTATTAAACAAAATTCTGTATCTTTGGAACTGTAATCACTGTGAATTTTAGTGTTTTTTTTAAAACACTTAAAAACGTTTTAAAATCGAGACAATTTTAATCAAATGGGTGACGTCATATTAAAACCCTTTTAATGTTTTAAAATAAAACACTAAAATTTACAGTGATAATAATTGTTTATCCAATAAATGTATGTCATGATAAACTATTCAATATGATTATTTGATGAATTATAAAATGATTACATTTAAATGACATTAATGATAAAAATTCATGAAACTGAAGAGACTCTATTGATATTCTAGTTTTACACATAGAACCCGATGATATCTAAAATTAAAATTCATCAATTATCCAAGTATCATACAGGGTCTAAAAGTGATATTTTTCAATAATCCATAAAACATGAAACTATGTTGAACTTTTCAATGTTGATTTTTAAATTCATTATAACGACTTCTCTACATTGTAAAGTTAAAAATGAAGAAAAAGTGCTTCTCATCATTCTGTATTCAAATATAAGAGGATGTAAGTATAGAGATCGTTTATACAACATTAATAGGCTCAAGAAGAGGCTGGGAAATTCATCAGGAGACCATTTATTTAAGTAGCTACAGGGAGCCACTCACGTTTTCATGTAAATTTTGTTCAAGATGGAACATATCAGGGGTTGGCCAATGGGACAAGTAAGACGATGTTAGAAAGCGAAGAGACATCGATATACACGTGTTCAGAAAAGCCTAGAAATACTTGTTTTTATTCTCCAGTCTCGATTCTCACATCCTTCTTCTATCAGTTTCGCATTTTGTATTCTAGAAAATACGAATCTCGCGAGAATTCAAAGTGTCTGCTACGTGCGGCAATGTTCTGTGAGCGATAGCAGGGTATGTTGGTGGGTTAAAGGAGTTGTAAAGACTAGGATACAAATCTGTCGTATGTTAAATCTTTTGAATATTTTCCAAACGATCGGTAAATAATTGATGGAACGAAAGAGTGGCTATAACTTTACGAAAATGAAAATATTATCTCATAAATAATAACAAACATGGTATAAATAATTTTATAAAATTTTAAAATATTTATAAATTTTTATCAATCAATATTCTTTAGAGTTTCTAGTAAATAAAAGATCTTTTATAAAAAGAATTGATTTAGAATGTAATTTTGTCATTTGTTATTCACGAAAAAACAAATTTATTTTTAATATCCGTTTGCAAATGTATTGTTACAAATTTGTCAAAGAGACATATTTTCCTCGTTGCATGATTTTATTCCTAAAAAGATAAATACAATCTAATAATAGGTTGAAGTAATGAGCAATATAACTGGTAAATAAGAAAATATGAGGAAGAAAATTTCCTGAAAATAAGTAGCTCAATATTTTGAGAATCTTTATACTTTACACTTCTATTCTCAACTTAAAAGCTATATGGTAGAGAGAAAAAAAAGATCAACTCTACTTGAAAGAAATCTTCTTCCAAGTATAAAACAAGAAAAAGAAGAAAGGCAAATAAAACTAAGCATAAAAAATAGTCGAGCGAAATACCTTTTTATCTCCCAATAGTCCAATTCTACAGTTGAGCATTACTGTGCTACCAATTCTCTCCGTGATATTGTGATCATCAGCATCATCCAAAAAATAAGGCCCAAATTTTCCAAAAGAACTGGGTAAACTTGGAATTTTAAAAGCTGATAAAAAGCTCCTTCTTGTTGTTACTATCATCGGGCCATTAGCTTTTTCAATATCAACATCATCGTCTCTATCTTGCATGGCTGTATTCAATGAAGGTTTAATCTCATAGAAAACTTTACTTGCTTTACCATCCACCAAGTTGATCGATGGCTTTGAATAGTCTTTTTTGAGGTATGGTAACTTGCTTTCTATCATGAATCCATCTGGAGATTTTTCTTTGGTAGAAAACCTTGTACCTGATGGAAGTATTTGAGGTGGAGAAACCACCAGCGGGGATTCGAGAGTTTCGTCTTCTAATCCAGTTGTGTCGTTAGAGCCTCGAGCAAACGAAGAGTTTCTAGCAAACTCTGAGGTGGTAGAGAAAGTTATGTGTTTAGCACTTCGTACTTGAGTTATTAGTTCAGAAGAAGACGTAGGTTTTCTTATTCTGTCAAGATCTACTAATTGGTTCTCTAGTCTTCGGGGAAACATCGATAAGTCTTGTTTCTTTTCATGACGGACATCAACTTCATCTTCAATTGTTTCATTACTTGCTTCTCTGCCCTCAAGATGTGAAACGTCTGCTGCTATTTTCGCTGCTTCATCAACTAAAAGTTTATAGCTGTCTATCGTAGTCAGAAAATTTGTGTGATTTTCTGCTACATCTTCTACCTTTAAACTCTGATTATCTCGAATCCTATCATTCTCCATGAACTCTTGAGATGGAATCATTGAACTCCCATCGGATTTAATCCTTGACAGGGAATCGTTTTTCTTCTTTAATGTTGATAATGGTTGTGTTCTATTTTTACATTCATGATTTTCAAACATCTTCAATTGATCAGTTTTTATTTCTCTGGTATGATTATTTTCATGCTGCTCAGATTCTATTCCATCTTGTTTACCACATCTCTGAGAAGTAGACTCTAAAGAACTCTCGTTGCTTATCTCTTTTCGATGTCCAGCATCTCCAACAGCAGAATGCTTCTCGTCTTCCATCTCTGTAACAATTGGAAAAACACTCAACATTTCTCTTATCGATCTACTTTTTTTTTATACCAAAAAAAAACCTACATTGCGCTTCGTTGAGTCAGGTAATAAAAGAAGGGATTGGGTCATTCGACAGAAAAATCACCAGATGAGAGAGTACATCCGTCCAAGACAATGATAAATGTAAGAATTTCGATATTTTTTTACCCTCATTCTTTCTCAATTTTTTTTTTTATTATTATTGTTAGTATTTTGCAGCAACATATTCTCAGGTATAGTTTCTACATAGCGATATCAAATTTCTTACACATTTTGTTATTGACAGTTCAATCAAGCACCAACTTCTTCACCTTTACTCAATCTATGATCCTAGAGTTTTTTACTACAAAACTATTTATATTGTATAACTTGTCAATTTATGTCGATCATTTTTTTCTAGATCAGCTGACATTGAATATAGGTCGAGATGAAAATTACTTTTAACATGTAAAAATATTCTTATTCAATATTTTAACATTTAAATTTATGAAGACTATCATTTATCAATAGAATTTCTATAATCATTGTTTTATTTAATTTAATTCAGACTCATATGACTTGTTGAATCAATATGTCTTATGTATATCTTTCTATAAATTTCAATTTTATAACTGTTTTTATTGTACAACAAGAATGAGAGTTCCTTAAAAAATAAAACTCAATCTTTCTTTTATGAATTTTCGATTGTAAAATCTTTCTAGTAATAAAAGCTTGCAATAGATAGGAAATTTGATTCGAAAATCTATAGATGTCAGAATGGAGTATAAATATGATATCTTCCAGCTACTAACAAGCACAAGAAATGCAACAAAAAAAGTCTATTCAGTAAAGTATCTGTAAATTTACTAAACTGAATATTCATACAAACTCAAATAATAATTAAATTATATATTCATATGGAACATGAACATCATGTTGAGTTTTATTGAATAATTTTCTATGAATGTACACAATATAATTGACGGAGAAAAGTATATGAGAAACATTAAGAGCTTAATTAGTCTGTTTTGTGATATACTGTTTCTTACCTTTGTGTAATATTTTAGGTAGGAATGATTTTGTTGAAAGGGATCTACAAAATCGAGATGCAGAAAAGGTAAAATAGCTTGAGAGAAGCTCAACGTAAATTTGTTTGCTTTATAGTACTGATATTGCTAGTGCTTGCTATTCTAACGCTTGCGGGGATTTCCGTCAACGAAAGCAATTTCGTGATAGTGAGATACGTGTCAGTCTATACGAGGGTGATCAATTTCTCTCTTACAGTCCAATAATCTGCATCCAATCACATTGACCAACACAGATATACAAATATACAAGTTATCAAGTTTTTACAGAATCACATTGTTATTTTAAATTGTTAAAATAATCATAATAAGAGAAATAATAATAATAGTACTTATAAAAAATAATCATCCAAGCCATCTATTCAACGTAAAACAAATTCATTTTCATTTTATACAAATTTTTAAACATCATTACTTTTTGAGACCATGGCAACAATGAAGCTCAGTAATTGTTTTTTTCTCCAGTTTTAAAAATATCTAAAAATAGCGAAACCTTTTCAGGTAACAACACTTGGATGAAATAGAATTTTTGAAAAATTTTTTCCCTAACAAAAATATATTGTTCTTCATCATTATTTCCAATTTTTTTTTTTTGAATTTAATATGATTTTGTTATTAAATATTCGGGATGTTCAATAACAGAAATAAATGAAAAAATCAACACCATGACGAGTTGGTAAAATAATTTGATTATACTAGTTATTGTCGATTTGAATTAATAATGTAACTGGATTTAATATTCTAACAATAACTATGATAATAGAGAACTTTATGTGATAGTGATAACAACAGATGTATGTATGTATTTACCTGATAACGCCATCGCTAGAACAGCCCCGAGGATGGCGATCGAGGCAATAGATTTTCTCAGCTGCCGCATCTCCAAGAGTTCAATGTTTCTTTATCAACCCTCTGCCATCTTCATTACTGTTTCCTGTACATAATGAATTCAATTAAAGATTAATTCTATTCATGCAATGAAATTTGCTTATATTAAATTCATTTTAGAGATACTCAGGCACTTAATTAATTTCTACATCATGTTTTTTTCTTCGATCCCAAACTTAATTAATTTTTTGTATGCAAAAATAAATGATTAAAGTTTACATAATTTCTCAATAATTAATGTCAATAAATGGTTGGTTCAGTATTTATTTTTCCAGTTGTTTTTCGTTTGGATAGAAACAATCTTGAGAAAACTAGTAGAAAAATATTGATCAAGTTAGATTAACAATGAGTATTTTAATGAGATATGAACAAGTGTAATTAGAATTGAGGTGACGGAACAAGAATACAGTTAATGATGCTTTATTATTAATTAACAACAGTATGCTTCAAGATTACGTACAATGCTATGTTAAGCATACAATAGTAAAGATGATAGAAACAAAGTAGAGGCGTGACGACTAAGTTTTGCTACAAGAAAACCACTTTAGTCGTGTGCTATTATATTTCTCCCTCCCTTACTATTTTACTACTACACCCTGAACTACTACCCTTCCATTAAATTCAACTACTTCATGGATAATGGAGCGATCTTTAGAGTAAATATTATACGTTAACATCTATTTTCGGTCTAATTCCTAATAGATTTATTGATTGAGAATGAAGATAAATTAACGTCATATACTATATTTAATTGCTTCAAAATTAATGAATTAATTAATCATCTATCTAATGGATTCAATGAAGAATATTTTTTTTTCTTTCTTTACTAGTGTTTTCATTCAACGAATACTTTAAAGTGGATTATCATATTTTTATGACCACTTAGACCACTGAATAATTTAAATAAAAGTAAAAATGATGAAGCTGATCAAGTGTAATGTCTATTTAAGCTTTTGATAATTTTTTCAAATGCTTGTTCGAATTTTTATGTAAAAAGTTTGCTGATTTCCAGTTGGTGAATATAAATTCTCATAAAAGAAGGACAGTGAGTGTAGTAGAATGGAATAGAATAAAGAAGAAAATGAAACAAAAGAACATTGAATTTGAATTTTCTCTGTAGATGTCTTTCAATAATAGTAATGCTTAACTTTCTCTTATATTCCATTTACCAAGCAGCTTGATTATGCCGACTATTGTCAACCTCGTCGATCATTTTATTAACTAAGTTCTGAACCAGATGCTGGAGGAGTGCAATCTCCTGAGCATTTCCATGACTAATTATTCAATAATCACATTAGTTTAAAAATTAAATACGTCTATTGATGAATTGTTTCATACAAATTAAAGAGTATTCTCTTATTATGATCAATTATAATTATTGTTATTGAGTTTAAGCTAAAATATATGTCTAGAATTTAGTCATTTAGGGTAGATAATGTGATTAATGAGTTTGTTGGAAATTTGTTAAAATATTAATTTTAATTAAAACAAAATGATTACGATATTACTCATATAACTTGTACTTTCATTACTTTTAACTTTGGTATGACTAATTGATTAATGCATGTTTTTATGTAATTTGTTGTGATTATCATTAATAACCATGTCATTTTCTGCTAGCAAAAATGTTTATATGAATATATGATCAGTGGTGTGATGTACTTGTAGGTGAAATGATTATTAAATAAATATATTTGTGAGATAATTTTTCAGTTTAAAAAAATATTATGCTTTTCTCAGTCTATATAATTAACTACACAAAATTCTATAAAATATTTTCAGTGATACTACAGTTACACTTAAAAGTTGTTCAACGAATATGTGTCAGAGGCAGAAAATTATACATGACATCTGCTGAGTTCTCTTTATCTCACTCTTTCACATTGAGGTCAGTTGGAAAAACTGACATCGCTATTTTTTTGCTTCTCATTTATTCTCTCATCTACATCGACGGATGTTATGGATTTTTCACCTCGGACAGCCTCAAGCGCAATTTCAAAATCAGTTGCAGAAACTTCAACGTTTAATTTGTCAACAATAAAGTGGTCTACTCACAAATAATTTTTAGTTGTTGAATATCCGTTGGAAATGATAAAAACTACATTTTCGGCTTCCATCAACTGTTATTACATCAGATATTTTTAACCTGCAAACAAAATGAACAACAGTTAGAATCAAGATAAAATTCAAAAGTTTTTAGAGAAATAAATGATAGGATTTATGTCAATTTTGAGAATATTTTTTTTTTCTTCTTTACAGACAAACATTTTATGCAATGTAAAGTAACTTAGTAATCAAAAGATAGAAATTTCTCATTCACAAAGAAGTCTTTGGAAATTCTATAAAAAAAACCCTTGGTGCAACGACAGTCGTCAAAGGATTAAGTTCTCACTTCTCCAGTTTCACAATCACTCTTTTTCCTCCTCATCTTTTACTACCTCTGACCACTGCACCGGTAACCTCTTTTTGCTTCCCTCATTTTCCCTAGTAATTCTCTGATGTCTCGTTCTGAGCGATTGGAAAACTTTGCAAGAGACTAGAAAACTATTACTTCCACATTTCTTTACCACTCTGTCACGATTTTATACACTTTTTATCCTTTTTTTCCTCCACTTATTTTATTCAAAGAAAAAACGATTATCATTTTTTTTTATCTGCATATAATTAATATTTATATTAAATCACTTAAAAATATTCAGTTAAAGGCATTTTATAAATATGAAAAAAAAAATATTAATGAGCTTTTTTAGTGAAAAAAAATAAAAATTAAGCAGGTTATTTTTTTTATCTCGTTTTCTTGTATAATAAAAATTTTAATTTTCCTTAGAACTGGAGGCTAAATTGCCTGGGAGGATGATTAATATTTATAATTTTTAATAAAGAAGTTTTGACAACATCAACTAGTAGTCGAAGAAAATACTGTACCCATAAAAACTATTTTTTAAAGTATTTTAACCAAGACTCATATTTGTCATAATTATTTAAATATTTTCAAATATTCCAACAGAAAGGATAAAAGTGTAATCTTGTCATGGTGATAATTTATACACGTTGCTTTATGCGTACATTTTCTTATGACAATATAACATCACTAAAGTTTTCTAGTAACCACCAGAATGTCAAAGTTTTTGTTGAGGTGCAAACAACGTCTCGTCGCACAAACGAGCCAAGAGTCCACACAAAAGTTGTTGAGCTTCGTCAGCGCATTTTATTTTTGAAATATGGAACTTTGTTTGTTTTATTATATGTATAGATATATATTGTACACAACTTTACAGATATAACCGGGCTGGCTATCTTTTTACTAAGGAACAACAATTCTATTTTAACGGTATGTCACAAAGTATACTGAAGGTGCTTTTAAAAAGCAGCCACGTTGACACTCTAAAGTTACCTTAAAGACTCAACTTCAACAAATTTAAATACATAAACTTTTAATGAAAATTTCTAAAGAAGGAATTCAAAGGCACTCTGTAAGGGTTTTTCTTCGCAAAAAGAAAAAAAAATAAGCTCACGAGGAAAATGAAAATAGAATAAGCATACACGTTTGAATAATAAAATGGATGGAATTAAATATGAAAGAGTAGCTGATAAAACAATGTGATTATCAGTTCACATCGTTGATGTAAAATTAACACATTAACAATGAAATAAATATATTTTCCTCTGATAATGATTACTATTATTATTATTTTTTGATAAAAGCTTATTCTAATTAAATTATTTAATATAATTATCAGAGAGAAATTCATTTCATTTTGATTTTATCATTTTTGTCCTGAATTTATAAATTCAAGTATGCTGCTCAACTTGAAAAGTTGATCGCTGATATAGTTCATGTGCCTCGAGGACATACTCCCGATTGACTTATTACCTGCTTACTTGCTTTGATCTTCAAGATCGTGTGAATGATCTTAGCAACCTGATGGTAACGATTATCCAGAGGGATTGATTGATGGGTCTCTTTATTGACAATTCTAGATGAGACTATATAGGTTTGGTGTAGGACAATTTCTTGACTTGCTAATATAGTAGTTATTTTAATAATTTATTAATCAATTGTTTTAATCTATTTCAATCAACTCTACGTCAAAAACTTGTGCTCGACCGCGCTTCTTCATCAATTATTTAATTAGGTGATGTAGAACCTAGGCTCAAATTAGCTCCAGAGTTTAGACTTAGGATTCCTTTCCCCAGGCTATATATACATATTAGATGATTTTGATATTCTACAAATGTACCTCACCTTATTATTAATAATGTAAGTTGTTCTCTAAATATGCAAATACGTTTCTGACCTTTTTTTTTTAATTTATTAATTAATATTGATTGATATTGAATGCAAATGTATTTTGTTTATTAATGATGGAAGTAATTGACTTTTTTAACATAAAAATATTCACGAATTCTAGTTCAATTCTACAGGTAAAATACGAAAGAAAAAAAATCATAAGGAGAAGAAAGTCATGATCTGGTCGAAAGCTCTCAACTTCACCTCCATTTTTCTTTCCTATTTCTTCCTATTTATTACCACGATTTTTCAGCGAAACTTTTCATCAGTAAACTACCCTTCTTTGGAATGAAATTTATTTAAAGAATGTTTTGCAACATATTAATATGCTTGGTCGATCATATTTTAAAGAGTTTTTTATTTTTAAATGAAACCTGCAATTATAAATGAACTTTATAATCATAATTTTATTGGATTATGTAAATCTGATATTTTAAGTCCATTTTATTATAGTATGAAGTAATATACAAGGAATGCTTCATCACTGTCGATTAAAGTATTTCCTATTTACAAAGCTTATAAGAAAAAAAAATAATAATAAAATGCTAAGTAGATTAACATGAGGTACTTTTAGAAAAATTCCATGGCAAGTTAGTTAATTCTCAATGACAAAGAGGTAATAAATGCTATTAACAAACTTTTTACTTGGTCCAGTGCCACAAAGTGTCTACAATAAAAATACCCTATGCTACTGTCAATTCAATTTCCCTTTGGAATGTTGTTGGAAAAAATTCTTGCGACAAATGTTCTCTAAATATAAAAAAAAAATCCAATTTTTTTTTTTGCTGTATTTAAAAGAGTCATTAAGAATGCTAATTATAAAATTATTCATGAATTCATTCATTTCAGTTACTCCTAGTATTTTTATTTATTTTCTTCTCCTTCCCTCATATCCCATTTTTATGAATTAAATTTAATAAAATAATATATTATTTCAAATAATTTTATCTAAATATTTTCGGAACATTTATCAAGATTAAACATTTGAAGCTAGAGTAATATATTTGACAGCAAGACAGAAAAGAAATGAGTTAATTTATAGTTCAATTCATCATAGATGATAGCATAAAATGCTTATGTGCAGTTGAGGAAGACATAAAACTATAAATCGAACAACTCCACAATCTCAGACAACTACTGTCGACAAATCGCGAAGGAACAGAGTGAATTTCTATCTCTAAAATACCTGCTGTGTATCTAATATTTTCCACTATCAAATACCTTGTTATTTTGAACCAAATGACAGATCAGAATGTCTCTAGAAAAATTCTAAAAATTTTATGTCAAAATACCATCAAGTATTTTATAACTGTTTCAATCATTTAATGCCACTCCAAGTATTTGTCATTTTTTTCTTTTTTTTGTTTTTTTTTGATAAGAGGAGAATTTCAATTTGATCGAATATATCAAAAATTCATGATCGATTCTAAAAAATTGTTAAAATCAACTAATACTAAATTTCTATTTCAATGATACTTGAATATAAAATCCATTGTATTTTATTATTATGATTTATTTATTTATCCAATTATTTTATTGTATTTTTTTTGTTGGATAAAAATCAGCATCAATCAACATCAAACACAGAAAAAAATATCATAACATATAGAAAACAATTTTAAATAATATTTCAATGTGAAATATAGAATCTCAAAGCCTTGACAAAATATTTAAATTCTATCTCAAAAGAAAATATTATATTCTTTGATGTGATAAAAAATTTTAAATAAAACATGTTTAATACAAAAAGTAGTTAGATTGTAATATTCCCAAGGGACAAGAACTGTATGTTAACGTGAACATCTGGAAGGGACGAATGCATATACATATCATGCTGATAAGCATTATCTAGATGATATAAAAGGACCTGGTGGACGTAGGTGTAGTGTAAGTGTCCATTACAAGTCAGAGATATTTCAATGTGCATGAAATTACAGCTTGAATGCATGACTAATTGAGATACTGTGATCATTTTAATTTCAATTTTCATGTAAATTATTAACTAGACTATTTTGTATTATTCTTAACTACACTTCTCATTTTCCCATCTCTGAAATCATTTGAATAATTTGAGTATGACTCTAGTATTCTTGGGGTGATATGAATTTTATTTATTAATATGTTGGTTAATGTATATTTCTTACGTGAATGCATTCGTCCAGTTATGTGGATGCAAAGGAAGTTATTGAGAATTTTTAACTATTTAATATGCAAGGCGTGCGCTTATAGGATACATAACACAAGAAAGAGGATGATAATGCTTGGTTTTATCTAGGATAAAAAAAAAAAAAATTCTATCCTATCTCTAAGAAAATATCACCTTTATTTATACTTGGTGAAATATATATATATATATATATATATATATATTTGAATTAACATTAATCCGAATTTAATTACAGTGTCTGAATAAATATTAAAGTATAAAGAATTGGAGAAAGAGATTTAAAAGTTAAAAAATTTTCATTTTAATAGCAATAATAAATTATTTTAAATTTACTATTTTCCTTCCTTTATACATTTTATAAGCCACCGAAAGGTTAGTAAGTAAATTCTCTACGCTCTGCATCGCATCCTTTTATCAACTTTATTCTTCATCTTTTCGCACAAGAAGTTTCTTCTAAATGGAATAAGCGTCGACGACGTCGCGCCGAATAAAATTTATGATTTTTCTCGCTTATGCTCAACTCTTTAACTTCTATTCTTTAAAAAATTTTTACTCCTTTAAAAACTCAAACATTCCTTTCCTTTAAAAACTTTCTTGCACATCAATTTTTAAATATTTACTTATTTTATAAAACAAAGTTGCTCTTCATTATATATCACTTTTATTTAAACTACTTTTTTCAGATTTA